TAAATACAATTTTTTTCCATTTATTAGGGCAAAAAATCTCTCCTTAATCCACCTGTCTCTATGTGACACTGCTCCCAAACCTAAAACTGGTTGGATTAAGGTTCAGGCTTTGACTAGACCACTCCAAAACCTTTATCTTGGTTACTTTTCTGAGCCACCCAGAGGTTGACATGCTGGGCAGTGGCTCTCACTGTGGTTCAGTGAAGTCCCAAAGCCAAAAAAATTGCTTTGTAATTCTTTCCAAACTGATACATGTCAATGACTTTGTTTCGCATCTCTTCTTGGGTTTCTTTACATCATGACATGATGTATTATTTCTGGAAGCAGTTTGTGCAACAGATTTCCAAGGTTGATCTTAAAATACTCTCTGTTTAACATCTTCTTTGCAGCTGCTGTTAAAAGCACAGACCAGCGCCTTGTTCAAAGGGAAAAAAGAAAACTATCCCTTCAGTGTGTGCAGACCATTCGCAGACACCAGGATCTGTAAGACTACAGTACTATTTTCTTAACATAAAGTGGACTTACATGCATAAAATAGATAAGACTACAGTAGTTTATGTGATTTTAAATGGAAGACAGAATATATAACACTAATCTGCTACAGTTTGACAAATGCATGGACTTGTTTCTGAAAACCTCTCCTGCTGCTAAATATATGATGAACTGAGCGATTGCTGTTCTCACTGATTGTTAAAATGTATTAATATTTGTTAAGGTGCAGAAGATATAAGCATCAAGGTGCTTCAGATGATTCAACATGAGAAAGTCAAGGTAAATTATAATATTAGTATTTAGTCAGCACACTGTCTTTGACGTGTGTGGTTGTCTGTTTGTTTGTTTTTTCACCTTCTCTGATCTTTGAGCGGGACCTCCACAGTACAGCGTACCTGTGGTGAAGTACGACAGGAACGGGTTCAGACCTCGACTCCGGCAGCTCATCTTCACCCAGGAAGCTGCCTACCTGGTGGAAGAGGCTAAGATCAAACAGCGGATAGATTACAGCTCACTGAAAGGTAACAAGTGAGGAAATAAAACAAAGAAAACATTGTTATCTGCAGTATATAAACATACAGTTATTTTATCAGTATTTTAAGGTTAACCTTGTTTTTTCAAGGTGTGTCAGTCAGCAACCTCAGTGACAACTTCCTGATTCTTCATGTCACGTGTGATGACAGCAAGCAAAAGGTACCTGCACACCGCTGTCCACAGCCATCTTAAAAGTTTTAACATTATACAGTTTATACTCTACAGATGGGCAACCAATAAAATGAAAAACAAAACTCAAATGTTAAACCCTAAAGTGAGTGGATGTGGAAGATCATGCTGTAGGGAGGGCCAGGGAAGGATTACCACAAATCAGTACAAAGTTGTTCTAAGTGGTCACTGTTATCCTTTGGTCAAACATTTCTGTACTAAAGCAGTGGTCTCTTCCAGCGTGATAATACCTCCAATTAGTAGGACACAAGAGTTCGCTAAATAGCTTAATGAATATGAAAATTATGTGAATCATTTAGTGTCTGGACTTCACAACCGCTGGCACCGTTATTAAAACACCAAGGACATTTAAAAACATTTTGGAGTGTTTTTCTTATAATGATCACTTTCAGGTCTTTAAATTTAAGATGAAAAATATAAACTATATGTACAAAATTACTGAGCTAACTACACATTACAGCTTGAGGGGCCATGGAAACCCTCACCATGAAGCTCCCAGTG